CTTCGTCTCGGCCGGCATCGGCAGTGGCATCGCGACTGCGCGGCTCGAGGCTGCTCGAGGCTGCTCGAGGCCCGAGGTGAGTTTGGCGCAGTTAAAAACTTACCGAAACAAAGGCAACACGGCGAGCGACACCGCGGCTCCGAAAAAGGAAGACAAAAGACGAAAGGGGCGTCGCTGGCGAGGCGCGGCGCGGCGGCGTAAAACTTGCCAATCCGATTGTCAGGATTCCAAGTTGAGACAGCGAAAGCCGCGAGTCGCCACAGGGAGAGATAGCAGCTCCGCGGGACTGCCGGCGACTGTGGGGAGCGGCTAAGGCAACAAGCGGAGCGGAGAAACAAAATGTGTGCACCGAAATTCAGCCGGCAAGGCGGCAACTTGAGTCACCAACTTCGGTCGTCGGCATTCAAAGGGCATTAAGCAAAAGTTCGACAGAGTTCCTCAACGTTTGTCATAAATTCCTCAAAACTCCAACAAAATTAGAAAAAGTTTTTAATAATTTTTCTTTGTTTACTCCAGGAGTCGCTGATGGATTGTTCAATTTTTCTCAGTGACCTTATACTTTTAAAATTATCTTTGGAAAATCCAGCCGGTGGTGACGGCGCCCCTTCCCGGGCCTCTCGGTCGGCATGCAGGCATGCAGGCAGGCAGGCAGGCAGGCACGCAGGCAGGCAGGCAGGCAGGCATGCATGCATGCAGGCAGGCAGGCAGGCAGGCAGGCAGGCAGGCAGGCAGGCAGGCAGGCAGGCAGGCAGGCAGGCAGGCAGGCAGGCACGCAGGCAGGCAGGCAGGCAGGCAGGCATGCATGCAGGCAGGCAGGCAGGCAGGCAGGCAGGCAGGCAGGCAGGCAGGCAGGCAGGCAGGCACCCGTCCGCGTACAATGGCGACCCGGAACGCGCTAAGCCGCCTTAGCGTGGCAGCGGCGGAGCGGTGGAGCGGCGGCGCCAAGATTGGAAGACACTGGCCGCGCCGCGCCGCGCCAGCCTCAAGGCGCCGTGTGCGGTGCGGCGCGGTGCGTGCGTTGGGTGCCGCGCTCATACAATGAATAAGAAATTCCCTTTCCGTTCGAGCCGCGCCCCGTGCAGAGGCCCGATGGAGGAGTCCCGCAGGATACAAAAGGCCCCCCGGCTGTGCGCCCCGAAGGCTCCTCCCCCTGGGCCCAAGGATTCCCAGGGACTTCATTATGGCTTCCTGTAAGCTTACAGTGTACGTGCGCCCCCAGTGTATGTCCCAGCTGCGCTGGTCGCAAACAACAACAGCAACGCACGGCGCGGACGCAGAATTATTTGGTCGAAGGCGGGTTGCTTTATCGGACACGCGCATTTCCGGACCCGTTTCGGACTTGTGCATCTTTAAACGGGGCGGCTCCAGCGACCCCGCCCAGCCCCACCCCGCCCCGCCCCGCCCTTATCGACTGGCCCCGACGGCCCCCCAAAGTGGCCCACTTTCTCGCCACAAATTCGAAACGATTCGCAACAACACCCCGGGGACGCTGCCAGGGCTGCCAGGGTTGCCGGCGGCCAGTCCTTGCCGCGCACCTCGGAGGCGACCTCGGAGGCGACGTTGGCTCTCCAATGTTTACTCGCTGCCAGCGATCCATCTCGGCAGTGCGACGCCCGGCGACGCCAGGCCAGCCTCGCGGTGCGTGGCGCCATCTAGGCGGATAAATATTGCCACTGCACCACGTGATTAGTTGTTGTGTTTGCGCGGCGGCTCGCAGTAGTGACCCCCTGGGCCCGCCTGGGCCTGTCAACCTGCAGGGCCCGTAAATCACCGCCACAGCGCCAGGGCCAGGGCCCCGGCGCGTCGCCGCCGCGTCCCCGCGCACTGCACTGCGACACGTACCCCGAGACAATGGCAGTGCAAGTTCTGGGAGGGTGCTTTGGAAGCAGCGCTCCCGGCAGCACCTCGAGGAGGCCCTCCTCCTCCCCCTCGCGGTGTCCTTCGCGGTGTCGCGATAGCGCGCCCGACCGCGGCAAGAGTAATTGCAGATGTAACGCAAAGTCTTCGCTTTCTGCGTCATTGTCCTCGGGATGGCCCCCGGCGCGGCCCCCGGCGCGGCCCCCGGCACCCCTGCTGGACCAGCTGGCCTCCGAGATTGACTGCACTGTCACCCCCACCTTTCCCAACCCCCACCGGCCCACCACTCCGCCCTGGTCCCGCCTTGCGCCTGGGCTTTAGGCTTTCAAGGCTCTCTAGGCTTTCTGGGCTCGCTGGGCCGGCAAGCCTGGTGAGCCTGCAAGCAGCCTGTGAGAAATACCTGGATAGGAAGCCCGTGTCAGCCAAAGTAAACGCAGGGGCGACACCCCGCCCCGCCCCGCCCCGCCACCCTCGAGGGTCTGATCCCCTCCACCCTCTTCTTCCAGTGGAGGGCCGGGTGGTCGCGGCGCCCCGTATTTTTCTTATCTGTCACCTCTGTGCCAAGCCGAGACGTGCCGAGACGCGCCGAGACGCCGGGGATATTGGCAGATGTTGATTTATTAGAGGAAGGACGAGAGGGTCCCCGTCGCGTCCTGCCCGGCCCTGCCCGGCCCTGCCACCCACCTAGGCGTGGTGCCCTGCCCGCCCGCCCGCCTGCCTGCCGTCAGCCCCCAATTAATCCTCGCTTAAGTCCGAAGAGGATAACACCTGGGGCGCGGAGGGCGGACGGGCGGACACTCGTTGAAAAAGGGCCGTGCTGACGCCGCTGACGCGCTCGCAACCTCGGGGCCCGCGGCTCTGTTTCGGATTTTCAGCACGGAAAAACAACGCACAAAAGATTGGCCACAGCTGCGCTGGCGCGCTGCTGCGCTGCTGCGCTGAGTCATCCTGGCGGGTGGGCCGGCCCGCCGCGCTGCCGTGCGCGCTGCCTCCGCGTTGCCTACCAGGCACGGCGCTCTCCCTGGCGGCCCTGGCAGCCTTCGGCTCTGTTAGGCCGGTTGGCCGTCGGGCGCCTCGCGATGCGCAGTTCGAGTGCATTATTCACCCGCCAGCACGTCCTGCCCGTCCGGATGCACAGCGAGATTACGCGCCACTTGGCACACCGTCATCCAATCTGCGCGAGGCGAGGGGCGAGGGCAAGGCATGCCCTGCTGGCGGTGCTCCCCGCCCGCGTCCCCGCCCCTGTGCAGCAAGCCGGCCTGGACGCCCTTACTGTGAGCGGCGCACTCGAAACAGCTTCAACCACAGATGCACCGCAGCCCTTCAAAGTGAGTCCAATCAAACGCACGCACTCGTACCGTACCACTGGATCCGTCGGGGCCGGGCGGGCCGGGGCGGCATCATGAGTTCGGTTCGAGTTGCCCTCGAGGAGAGTGCTCCGCTCCAAGAGTGTCTCGAACAACATCCACCGAAACAGGACTCCCGGCGCGCTGTGTACCGCAATGTGATTCAGCAGCACGCGATTCTGGGCCACTTCTTTCTCTTCCCTTGCGCACAAAGACGGCGAGTCCCACCGCCTCGCCCAGCCTCGCCTCGCCGTCCTGGAACCTGGAACCTGGAACAAGGACGAGAGCGGCTCCCGCAAATTGGTGCGCTGCGCAATTGCACACAGCAGCAGCGCACGTTGCGGGGCGGGGCGGGGCGGGGCGGGGCGGGGCGGGGCGGGGCGGGGCGGGGCGGGGCGGGGCGGGGCGGGGCGGGGCGGGGCGGGGTGGATAGCGCAGCAAGTCCCCAGCGTTTTCTTGTGCCTCCGCTTCCAGCGCACTGCCAGCACGCTTCCTGCAGCGCGCCGCTCCACGCTCGGCGCTACAAGCGGCAAGCGGCGAGGCGGCGGCACGGCAAAACGGAGCCAGTCGGAAACCAAGCGCCTCCTTTGCGGCCGTTAATACTTCCTCCCGGCCATTAACACCCCACAGCACCCAGCGGCAGCGGCCCAGCGGCCCACGAGACACCGTTGTAGCGCTTGGTGCTGCCGTGCCTGGCCGTGCCTGGCCGTGCCGTGCCCAGCAGCGCCCCAGGTGGTGATGAATAGAGCGAGGCAGCCCACCCGGCCTTTGTCCGCCATTGGGCTGTCTTTGGACCGCACCGCCCCGCACCGCCGTCGGCCACTGGGAAGGTTCTTTCAGGGCGGGAAATGGAATTAACTTGTATTGCCGGCCGCATTGTGGCCGCCGCGTGTCCGCCGCGTGGCGACCATGGAGACCGTGGACCAGAGAGACCATGGCGACCAAGGACTATGGAGACGAGCGAGCTGGTGGAGACCGCCGTGGCGCTAATAACGATAGACTCCTCCTCGGCGCCCCGGGGCCGAGCGGAGCGACCCCCTCGCCCCCTCGCAGCGGCCTGGCCCAGCCAGGTCTCCGGAGTGGCAGCAGTTTCGGTCTTCGGGTGCAAAGGGTGGTAGGACCAGGGACTGGCGGGTCCACCGCCCGCGGCCCCACCGGGACGACCGGGACGTGCGCCACGATGCGGACCGAACGCCACACGGCCGCACGGCCGCCGCATGCGACGTGTTCGAGGGGGCCGCGCGGAGGGAGACTTCCCTTTCGCACTGACTGTACTTACTTATGGCGCGCAAAAATTGGACGCGGCGACCACGCGACTACGTGGCGCAATAAAGTGAGGAGCGGAGTTTACTGGTTCGGAAGAGGGGGCGGACAGCACGGTACAGTAGTTGGGCTTATTCGGAAAGGGAGGGGGAGGGGGCGATTCAAAGTGAAACTTACGGAGGGGCCTTGGTCCTTGGGAGTGTGCGTGTGGGGGGAGCTTTGGGAGCGGCAACACAGCGACGGACGCCAACTGCCAGAGAGGGACACTCTCGGCCGAGCAGTCAAGGCGAATGGCAGATGGGAGGAAAAGGGGGGGGGGCACTAGCACTGTGCATTTCAGCTTCATGTCAGCATCTCTTTGTGTCATTGCGAAAAGGTTGAGTTTGACGGAAGATGGTGTCGTGCCAAGAGAGCAGTGTTGTTACCGCCAAGAGATGGTGGTGGCAGCAAAAGGAGGCAAAGGCGCCAAGAAACTTGGTGCTTGAAACTTGGCGTTGACTGCCGACGCGTGAATATGACTTTGTGTTAATTTACCTCAGAGACGGCACGAGGCCCGCATGATGGGCTGCTGGCCGCGTCGTCGCGGACGTGGCGGTCGTCCGGGCCGGGCCCCTGCGGCGCCGTGGGCTGCCCTGGGGTGCCCGGGGGTGCCCTGGGGTGCCCTGGGGTCCGAGGCAGTGGCTCCGATCTGCAACAAGACCAACACACGTCAACGTCGTGCTGCTGTACCTGGTGGTAGTGGCCTGGTGGCCTGGTGGCCTGGTGACCTGGTGGCCTGGTGGCCTGGTGGCCTGGTGGCCTGGTGGCCTGGTGGCCTGGTGGCCTGGTGGCCTGGTGGCCTGGTGGCCTGGTGGCCTGGTACCCTGGTGGCCTGGTGGCCTGGTGGCCTGATAGCCTGGTACCCTGGTGGCCTGGTGGCCAGGTGGCCAGGTGGCCTGGTGGCCTGGTGGCCTTACGGCCTGGTGGTCTGGTGGTCTGGTGGTCTGGTGGGTCGCCGAGAGTCGAGAGAAACGTTTCTCGAGTTCCTCCGCTAAACGCCGCAACCCATGCATTATGCAGCGCAGGGTGGCGACAAAGGGTTTGATGATCGCGGCGCGGCGGGCAGACATGAGCACGGCGCCGAGAACAGCAACCAATCTCGTGGGCGGGGCGCGGCGGGGGAGGGCGGGGCCGCCGCCTACCTTGGCGCTGGCGCTACACGCGCCGGAGTAAAGTGTGTTTGCCGTGGGATTCGCCCCTCGCCGCGTCCTGCGCCGCGTCCTGCGCGTCCTCGCCGCAAAGTGCGCCGCGGTGAATTACTTTCCCCGCCCCCCGATAACGGAGTGAGTAAACACGTTCAAATTTTCGAGTCCTCGGTGGTCTCGGTCTCGGTGACCCGCGCTGCGCCAGGAGAGAGGCGGCCAGCCTGAAATAATTTCCCGCCCGCCAACGAGGACTTTCTAGCAGTGTACTGACCGATGGAAATAAGCAGTGGCGACGCGGGGACCCGGCGACACGCAAGCAGAGAGGGAAGCTCGTTTCGATCCCGAGTCCGGCACACTGACAGGCCGGCCTGGAGGGGGCCGCCCAAGGGGCCGCCAACCACGAGGCGGTCTAGTCCGTGAGGAGAGGGTCCGGCCGCCACGGCCACCTAGTCTAAGTAAAGGGCGGGGCGCGAGCGGGGCGGCACTGGGGCGGCACGGGTTGAGGCCCCCAACTTTGCGCGCAGCACCGCTTTGGGGCTGATCAACCCCTGACCCACTCCACTCCACGCCCTCTCTCTCACACCTGCTGCGGCGTCGGCGGCCTCGGCTGCGGCGCAGACCCAAACGCCTTGCCTTCTCCGTTCTCCCCCTCGCGCCCTTAAATCTTGTCGGCCCCCGAATTGGATTGGCGCAGTCTCGGCCGCCTTCACTGCCTTCACTGCCTTCAGCACCTCGGCGGTGACGGCCCGGCCCCGGCCCCGGTCTCGGCCAGGCGGCGCGTGCAGCCTCCAGCCTCGGCCGCGTCCATTCCAGGGGCGAGCTGCCTGAGACGGCGGTGGAGTACTACCTGATGCTCTCCTCGAGCAGGTCCAGCACTCGCGCTGCTCGCGCACGTCCTGCCGACCCTGAGACCGCCCGGCCCGCTTGGCCCCGCTTGGCCTGCTTAGCAATCTGAGCCGTACCGGCCCGGCCCGTTGGCACGTCCCGGTCAGGCAGGACCCTGGAGTGCTCGCCCCCTTCCCCTCCCCACCCCCTTCCCCCGACACGTCCGCGCCGTAACGGACTCGCCTGTCGTGTCTGCTGGGACATGAAAAAGTGACTACACCGCGAACGGCAGCGGCATTGAGCCCGAGCAAGCTACGCTAAGCTGCGCCAGCCACGCTGAGCTACGCTGAGCAGCGCCACCGGACGCGTGGACACCCCGAGGGGGCTCAGTCTTGGCTTGGCCGAGCCCTATTGATCCCCTCATGAATATGCACACGCCGGTCGGCAATTTGGAGGCTGCCTTGGCGTGGTGGGGCGTGGCGGGGCGGTGCGGGGCGGGGTTGGGTGGGGCGGGGCGGGGCGGGCGCAGACCGCACCGCACCGCAAGCAAGTGGCAGTGCCTTACATCCTCCTACTTGCCTTGCATGCGGCCCGGTCGGCCCGGTCGGCCCGGCCTAGTGCTGCTTCCAGGCCGAAAGGCTGTCGAAACGAACTAAATATGGAAATGCGATCGCAGCTCCAGCAGCTCCAGCAGGACCAGAAGCTGGGGGGCGGTACGCGGCGCGGCTGCGTGCCAAACCCAAATCCCGCTAATAGTTTCGTTCGGCGATCCGGATTATCCACGCTAATTTAGCGCGTCCGGCCGCCAAGGCCGCCCAAGGTCGCCGTCGGGCTGGTCCGCGGCCTGCCTGCCAGCCAGCCTGCCGACGGCAAGGAGAGGGCCAAATCCGGCGCCGCGTTCCTCTTTCCTCGTGCCGAAATTAATCTTCATGTATCGCCGGGGCTTTGGCCCGAGCAAGAAAGAGAGGAAAGAAAGAGAGAGGAAGAAAGAGAACGGCAGGCCTAAGCCACCCGGCGCAACCTTTTATCAGCACGTAAACATTTTTTTGTGTGCCGGCTGTACGTCGCGGCCTCGTGGCCTCGCGGCTGGCTTCTGCCTCGCCTTTGCCTTGCTTTGAGGAACGCGCTGCCCCGCTTCTCCCCGCAGAGCCGCAGAGAGAAAGCTGCGGACCGAAATTGCTTCCCTCAACCGACCGGCAACGCGGCCGCCAAGCTCACACACGCACACACCGCGCGCGCGCGCGCGCCCACACACACACACACACCAGCGCTCTCTGCCCCCCCCCCCCCACACACACACACAAGGTAAGGCCATCCGCACATCATCGACGCGCGGCGGACGCGGCGGACGCCCTCCCTTGCTTTATGGCATTGCGGCGTTGCAACCGGCCATCACGCCATCGCCACAAGCCGCCCCGCTTCGTTCGCTTTCGCGTGCCGCCATCAAGGGCGCGCGCGCGCGCGTGTGTGTGTGTGTGTGTGTGTGTGCGTGTGCGTGGCCGCCCTGCCAATATCGGCCGCCCACAGCCAAACTGCAATCGTTGTTTTTGTCGCTCGATGGCGTCGTCAGGAAAGGAGACACGACAAAGCGTTCTGCGAAGTCTACCTTTTGACTGTGCTTGCAACGTGTCCCTGGCGTTGCGGGCGTTGCCACTGCAGGGCCCACGGCCTCGCCCACGGCTCACAGTGCGGGGGGTGGCGCGCCCAAGGCACGGCGCCAGCTGTCGCCCGTTTTGTACCGCGCGCTCGACACGCACGACGCCCCTCCTCCTTTTTTGCTGCGATCCTCATCTTCATTTTTCGCGGATTTTCTTTCTCCCTTTCGCCTCGAAATCTGAACGGCGGCGGCGGCCTAGCCCGCCAGCCTGCCAGCAGATCAGAGGGAGGAAGACTGCCTCCGAGCGAGAGGCGCGGCTCGGCGGCCTCTCTCGCTCGCACTCCCCGGGCATCTCGTGTGAGTGCGAGGGAGACAGACCGACCGCCGGTTCGCGCCCCCTTTGCCGATCAACCTCCTTCTCCTCGTCCTCGCCCTGCTCCCCTGCATTTCCGCCCTCGACAGCAGAGCGGGGCAGAGCGAGGCACAGAGGGGCAGAGCGGGGCAGAGCTAGCCCCTCATTCGGCGGGGCGGCCATCTCCCATCTCCGTCTGGCACTCGAGGATCACGATCACGTGTTGCAACGCGCCGACGCGCCGACAGCTGCCGCAACATTGAGGCGATAAAAGAAAAGTTGGCTCGGCGACGCGAGCACCCACCCCCTCTCCACCCCACACTTAGGCCCCCTCCCCTCTCACGCATTACTCCACCCTTCGCCTCTCCCCTGTGTGCTATTGTTGTTGTTTTTGTCGTTGTAGCTCTCGATTCGTTTTGTTTTCCCGCAAACAACAAGCAGCCGCAAGGTACGGAGAAAACAGATCGGTGCAAAAACGGGCTGTTCTTTCCGGCGCATGCTTTTTGTGTGTGTTTCTAAGGGTGTCGTCGGAAGCGGCGACGAATGGGGAAGTTTCCGGGAGGAGGGCGTCATCGCCGACGCCCGACGCTCTCACGGATATTAAAAAGAGGACCGCTTTGGAGCCGTGGGGGTCGCACCGCCGCGCCCCACCGGGCCTGGCCCTCCAGGCCCCCGGGCCGCCACGCCCCGACTGGAGAGGCGCGTCTAATGGTTTGAAGGGCACAGCGTCTTTGTGTTGCACGGGCATTAAGCCGTAGATCTGAATTTCTGTCATCCCCTCCCCCTCCCAGAGGCCCTCTCGCACTACTGGCCGGGATCTCTTTCTCCTCATCGCTTCGCCTCCGTCTCCCCCGGCACGCCCAGGCACGCCGTTCCCGCCGAGAGGCGCGCGCAGAACGGCGCGGAGCAGCGCGTAGCATCGCGTAGCGACGCAGAGCCTTGAAAATTGAGTTATTAATGATTATAATTTGCGTTTGTTTCACAGCGCAACATGCCCCATGCATATTCATCCGGGCAGTTGGGCCGAGCGGCCGGCATCGCGGATCGTGTTGCTCGCCGCTTGCCTCTCGCCGCCTGCCGCTTGGCCCGGGTTCAAACACCGGTCGCTGCTAATTTAGAGCGCGGACCGCCCCCGCGCCGCCCCCAGACACCCCTCGCCCCCGCGCCACCGCCGCCGCCCCCGCGGCCGGCAAACTTTCGACGCCAAGTTTTCCAGTGAGCAGCGAGCGCCCAGCCGGCCTGGCCGGGGGACCGCACCGCCGGTATCCAGGGCCTCGTCTGGGGCATTCTAGGGCCACCGCAGCGCCAGCAGCACAACTAGAGGAACGCTTGGGGCGGCTTAGAACGGCCGCAGCGCGCGCAGCGCCGCAGGGACAGGCAATGTATTCTAGTCACGGCGCAGGCCGGACTCGTGGCCGGTCAGTAGTCGCACCCACGCGAGCGCGCGCGCACGCACGCGCACACACACACTACAGCCTCATTGTCCGAGTTATTTACCCCTCGGCGGGCCACACTTCCCTTTGATCAGTGCCGCGCAAAGTGTGGTCAATTCAACAAAGGCAGCAGGGCGGCAAGGCAGCAAGGCGAGGTGGAGGCACCCGCCGAAACGGCCACGGACACTGGGCAGGCAGTGCCAGGCCTACGGCGCCAGCCGCCCCCGCCCCCGCCCCCGCCCCGTGGGACCCGTGGGGCCCAGCCATGGCCCAGCCATGGCCCAGCGACGCTTCGGG